GCCTAGCGTGTATGTACGAGATGAATTCAGTGGATCTAGGTGTCATATTCTCTTTCACCTCTATGGACTTTCCCTCTCCAGACTTTAGTTGAATTGCTCGTCGTTGGCAATCGATAATTGCTTGGTGTTCGGTGAGCCAATCCATTCCGAGGATGATGTCAAATTCTTTGTACGGTAGTTCGATAAGATTGACAGAGAACTGATGTCCTTCAACAATCAATGGGCAGTTTTGATACACATGATCTAACCTCATACTATGTCCTAACGGGTTAGACACTAGTATAGGTTGTTCTAAATGTTCTTTCATTATGTCAGCTTTTTCAGGCATTTGTACACAGATATAAGACAAAGTTGATCCGGGGTCTATCAACACATGCATGACAGTATCAAATAAGGAGAACATACCCTGGATGACGTCAGGGTTCTCCTCAATTCGTGCTTTCATTGCATATGTACGAGAAGGAGCTCGTCCTTGTTGTTGGTTCTGATTCTTGGCTGGATTAGACCCCGCTGTTGAGCGTTGACTTGGTGCAGGTCGTGCCGATGCTGCTTGACTAACAACAGGAGCAGGTGGATACGGTTCTCCGGGGTTTGTAGGGCACTCCTTTCTAAAGTGTCCTGGTTTTCCACAGCCGAGACACAACCCTTGCTTAAGCCAGCATTCTCTAGGGTGATTCCTTCCACAGTGCTCGCAAGCTGGATACCTCCGCTTTTTGGACTTATCAATGGAGGCCATCGACTGAGTTTGTACAGATTTTCCCTTTTTAGAGAAATGTGAATTGCTAGGTTCTTGAAAGGGCCTTTTCCCTTTTGAGGCAGAGCCGGTGGGACGGTGAGTGCTTGAGCTGACATTATTTGTCTTCAGATACTCAATGCAAGCACTCAAGTCGCTGTCTGCCCTGGCAATGAGATCGTAGGCCTCCGCGAAATCCATAGTGGTTAGAACAGATACACGTGACCTGAGGTCAGGTCGAAGTTTCTTCCTGAACTCCTCAATGCGATCGGTTGGGGTATTTACTATGGTTGGTGCAAACTTTGCGAGTTTGGTAAACTTCTGACGATATTCAGGGAGTGTCATGTCTCCCTGTTCCAGTTCAACAAATTCCTTACGTCTTTCCTCGCTAAATCGTTTCGGAATATATTCTTGCTTGAATGCCCATTCGAAATGTGCCCATGTCCACGGCTTAGGGGTTCCCGCACTCTCATCCGTCCTCTTCCACCACTCGTAGGCTTCCTTTCGAAGCAATTGAGAAGCCAGTCT